TTCAGGGTTTGACGGCATCTGTCATCTGCAAAGAGAAATATTCTAGAGGTATCCGGAGAAGAATAACCGAACACCTTACTTTTCATTAGTTCTCGCCCGTTCAGGTACCAGACAACAACGAGATTCGGATCATTGAGCGGTGTGAGCTTGGCCTCGAGGTGAATCGGCTGTCCTTCGAACAGCTCGTGAGATCGCAAATCAGAATGGAAGTTAGGGAGATCTGAAAAACAGCCATAAAGCGAGTGGGCGGAGAGTTCTTTGGCTCCCGTGGTGCACGCCTCGCCGATCGCATGTTCGGAAACAGCCTACTATTACGTCTTTCTGAATGACGCGCCCCTTCTCTTCATGTTCCTAGAAGGGTGGCGGAAATGAGACAGACACAACAGTAGATTGTCTCCGCCCACATGGTTAGCGTGAAAAGACTTGTCGTCCGCTGAACTTACCAAGTTGGATTCCTGGAGGTGCGCGAGTGCTTCTTGATTGGTATGCTGTGCCGAAACTGTTGCCGAGAGTGGGTTGATCCACTGTGGTGTGACCTAAAAAGCCCATCATGCAGTAATGAATTGTTTTCAAAAGTCCGGACACAGGGTATGTACGCCGCTGAGTCTATTTCGTATAATATGTACGGCTGCGCCGAAAAGTTTAGGCGATTGACATAGAGCGCCTGCAGGGCGCACACCCGCTGAACTTTATGAACACTCGATTCGGACAAACCCTTATGAGGCGCCCGTTTCTCAAGGGACAATACGTCGCCGTCAAGCCAGCAGTTCCAGCGTTATTGGTGGAAAGACAACACCCTTTCCCCTCCCAGACAAACGCTGGGACGGCTGCTAACGGACACAGTCATTGCTTTGAAGCTAACGCCACTTTTCATAGCACCACAGTCTCTGGTCCTTAGTCGGAGCATTTTGCCCTTAATTGAATGGGTACTTGGCCCTGGAGCGTCAAAAAATTGGCACGGCACGGCTATCACTCCGAAACAACGGAAGGATAGTATGGAAAATGGCTGAAAATGCGAGCGATTTTCTTCCACCTTACTCCGCGATATTCAGGCGAATGGAAGGAGGAGGCGGAGACTTGTAATCGTCTTGCCTTCCTTATTGGCTCCCTTTCTTACGTGTCATCTTGGAAAGGAGGGCGCCCCATCGAGGAAGATATCATGGCTACTACTCTCCGTCTCCTCCCTCGCCCATCCTAGCTGTTGCGTAACAAGTCTTTTAAAGGTATTCTCGATTATCAAAAGTATTTTCGATAGTAACGCAGAGGTACTCACCCATCACATTCAGAACCACTGAGCTGCGAGCTTCTCCCAATGGATTGACCAAAACCACTGTGTACTCTCCCTGAAACACATGATATCAGTAATGCAAGTATCCAGCCTGACGTGCCCGTTCACAGTGCAATACAGTACCTGATCGAATACCGTAACGGGGTTAATTTCAAGGATGGCGAGCCCTTTCTCGTTGATGGTCGTGACGCGAGATGAGAGCACAATCGGCTTACCATTCAACAACCATACCACCTGTGATAGATCATTAATTGGATGGATACCCATGAGGCTACTAGACAGTTTCCACTCACTTTAATGTTCGGGTATCTGCGTGCTGGTGAGTATTATGTTGAAAAACTCCGAAAGCGAGCAGTCTGTCCTTTCGATCAGGTTCAATGGCGGCAATTGGCCAGCAAATGCCGGAGCAGATTTTGAAGCTGCTCTATCCTGCATTTCATTGACTGGTACAGGGGTCCTGAAACAAGTACCGTGCATAATCATCAGTGACCGAATTCTGCCGCGTTCTCACCTGGCCATTCGACGATCGACTTTTCTGAGGGTGGATACCAGGGGGGGGGGGGGGCTGTTTCACGGTGTTTGGCGGGGCCAAGTTTCCCTGACGCCTTTTGTACGACAAACTCGGCCCCTGATAAATAGCGATGTCCTAAGGTCATTGCTCTCTGCTTCCTTCCTTCATTTTTTTTTTTTTTTTTTTTTTTTTTTTTTTTTTTTTTTTTTTTTTTTTTTTTTTTTTTTTTTTTTTTTTTTTTTTTTTTTTTTTTTTTTTTTTTTTTTTTTTTTTTTTTTTTTTTTTTTTTTTTTTTTTTTTTTTTTTTTTTTTTTTTTTTTTTTTTTTTTTTTTTTTTTTTTTTTTTTTTTTTTTTTTTTTTTTTTTTTTTTTTTTTTTTTTTTTTTTTTTTTTTTTTTTTTTTTTTTTTTTTTTTTTTTTTTTTTTTTTTTTTTTTTTTTTACGTTAGGGGATAAAAATGAGGCGAGGTTGTAAAGTGCCCTCTCTTGATGGGACCTGTGAACCTCCAATTAGCTTTCGAAACCTGCAAAGCGGAGCAGAACGAAGCTAAAGGGAGTTCTTTTTCTTGTGGTCTCATATGGGTTCAGTTTAAGAAAGCAGGATTTGTATGGTTAGGCCCGAGAAGATGTGCCTTCGATAAAGACTATGGTCCCACCAAATAGATAACGCTTTGTTCTGGCGAACCAACTTCAGTTAAGAAAACTAACGGTGAAGCGGGTGGTGCCGTGTTTGTTAATAGCATCGCAACGATACCATCCGCCTTCGGCTAATGTCGCATTTTCAATAAATAGTGTGGTTTCATTTCCTTTGTTCTCGATCCTGAAAATAAAGAGGGCTACGGTCGCTACTGGCTAGACAACTCGCCTTACTTCCTCCTCAAAAATGTACGAAGGAGAAAAGTACCTGTATGGAGGTGTACTCGAGAGTTCCTCGTTATCTTTGAACCATTTGTACGTGATTTTGTCGCCGGTTGCTCGGCAGAATAGTTTTACCGAATCGCCCTCGTAAATGGTGGTTGATTGGAATTTTCCAGTGAATTCCGGGGCATCTGGAGGTCTTGCCTCTAAAACATTGAGGCATTAATCACGATAATGTACTGCTGGTATTTTAGGCAATGTTGTTGTGAATCCGTGTTGGAGGCAGCCTCGGAAACCACAGTTACTCGCCGTAGGATTGCGATATGTTCGTGTGTTTCATTGCTTGTGAATCTATGGAATGGAGGACGTTCACAATGTAACTTTTTGCCCTATAGGTTGTGTCCAAAGGCAGGACTGTAGTGAACGCAAGACTACGGTAGCAGCTGAAAACACGGGCAGTTGGTCTAACTGTAATTGAAAGCGCTGAAGTGGAGAAAAGAAGAGTAAAGCGGAGGAAGGAAAATAGTGAGAATTTCCCCTTCAAGTTCAAGTCAGGGTTGAGGCGCAGTGCCGTGCCCATGCAGTCTTGAACTAACGTAGGATGGTGATCAGGACGCATATATGGGACCTCCGGTGGAGCTATTTCGGTCCAGTTAAGGACTCCTGGTCACTGGTCCGACTTCGGAGTATCTCAAGCAAATCGATAACGGGTGTGCACTCCAGAGCATGGAATCGGATCTCAATGTCATCGCTTAGATACACTCAAACGAGGTGATGGTAGCCGGAGAGTCAGGTCGTTCGTTTTTTGGCAGGACTTGGTCTAGATGGTACAAACTCGTTGGTCAACGCTGTGGTCAGTCGCAGGAACTAGCGTATATTCCCAAAATGACTGCCTGGGCTACTTTAGCGCTTTCCGTTGGACCACTGAGGTCCTAGTGCCAAGGATGCGAAAATGACGCTCTAGCGCTGTACTCCCGTACCAAAATGCACTGCATGCCGTA